TAGAAGTGTAAAAAAATGCTGGTAAATTATTGTTATTTCATAATGTCCTCTATTTGTACAATGGTGGCACGCACACACTGGACTAATTACGTGTATTATTAATGAATTTTTTTGGACAATCAAGGAATTACCTCCAATTTATCACATGACTGAAAAACGTCAGACTTCGTGCATATTAATATGTAAAGGCTTTTTGAAAATTTCACCTAACCTAAAATAATGAAGACCACCCAAAATAATTTTTTTTTCCTGATAAAACCCAATCAAAATTTCTCAACATCTCAGACTACTTTCTAGCAGCCCCCCTTAAAATTCTTAAATATAATTTCTTAAGTTTCCACTGTTTCCCAGAAGAATTTTTTGGTGCAAGTTAAGCAAATTGTTTTAAAGTACAAGAAATATCAACTCATCAAACCTTTATTAGAAAGAAAACTCGAAGGTTTCTTCGGAGTTTCTTAAGAAAATGTGGTTCATCGAATTCCAAATAGTTACAAAATATCAGGATATTTATAATTGTGGTAGATTATTGCATCATCATAATTCACAAGGTTTTCATGTGCGATTCTATCCAATGAATAGTCTTTCACTCTGTTGACTTAATTCTTCAGGCTTTAACTTAGCTATTGCCTCTTAAAAACAAGAGCCTTTACTTAAGGCATTGGTTCTAAAATAAAACAGGTCTTCATACAGTATGTTAAGTTACTATTATTACTGTGAAAAGCCAATCTGCATGAGATGTACAGTCACATAGCCGGCACATGAAAGTGTTGGACATCGCCCCCTTTCAGAGTTCATACGTGAGGGAATTTTGAGTTATCACAAAGTATAAGTATAACTCCTGCACACAATTTGCATGTGAAGATGTTGGACTTTGCCCCTTTTACAATTTGTACGTGAAAGGACACACATTGTTTAAGAGATCACTTTGCTCAAATGATTTAACAAATCACCTCCTTTTCTAACATCTTCAATGAAATTATGCATCAGTCAATGTTAAGATTGATACCCTGGGTAACATTATTACTTTACTTCTAACAGAATAATGTCAAATTGCCGAAATACTGATTGCTACTCATCTCACGTTATTCCATACAAAACAATCTCCAATTATTTTGTCAACTGGCTACATTCAGTTTATTCGCTAATGCAAAAGTTACGCATCTTTACTTAGCCACTGGATAAATTAAATACATTTTAGTTACTGTTATGACAGCAAACATGTATCAGATATGGTTGCACTTAACTTGCTGAACCGTGAATTTAAAGGTCTGTTGAACATTGTAGGAGAGAGAATAAAGCATGTTTATGGAATTAATTTACTCGGTACAACTTTAAAAAAATCAGCTCTTGTTCAAACTTCTAAAAACACAATTATGCTGCATATTTCCAAGTTAAAGTCAATATCTAAATACCAATAAATTATGATAGTTTCATTTGTAGACCTTTGAAAAGTATCAATGATTTTATATACTTCACTTTGACACAAGTGAAACTTACTGCACGCACATTGTGCCCTTCCAATACCAGAATTAGGTCATAAAGGTCTTAAACCAGCAGCCACACTAAAATATGAACCCTTAAACAGCTACATCACTGTACTCAGTGTTTGAATATTAAAGATAATTAAATGTTATGCTTATAAACACCTTTAGCCATAATAAAATTGTGAAGAACCAAAATGGTGGTCTCAAAGTGCCCTTGTTTGACCTTTAGTGCAGTAATGTCATGTTTAGATGCCAAAATTTCATTGGTTCCTAGCACAGTACCTCATAGTACCTTTACCCTTATTGGCCCTTGCAACACACATCCGAACAGACAAAGCCACAAAGTCACAAAGCCAAAAAGATACCACTGACATACGAGCTACTTTTTCAAAATAGCTCAAAAATAACTGTACTCATGGACCGAATTAGTCATGTGCCCCCATTCAGCTACGGTATGTTGGGCTTGATGTATTTGACCCATAGCAGATTTGCGCCCAGAGGACCAGAAGGGGCCTTGCTCACAGCAAAGACTGGGCCATAATACTATTTGCCTCTATGTCAACCCATGTCATTGAGTCTATGGATAGTTCAAGCTTTATTAATGTACAGCTGTACTCTGCAGATTCCTAGCAATAAGGGGACCGATCATCCAGCTTTGCTCAGACTGCAGCACCAACTTTGTAGGAGCATGCAATGAACTTAAAGCTAAAACCATCCAATGCTAGCCCTGTTAAAAAATATCTGATGAAGAAAGGTTACAGGTGGCTATTTAATCCACCCCACGCACCGCACACAGGAAATGCTACTCGATATCCTTGAAACTGAAGACTTTGGATACGATCATCATGAAAATGTAAAAGTAATTCTCTTGTCCTTTATTTTCATTTTATTTTATTTTTTTAAAAATTTCACTTTAATATTGTCCCTTCATTATATAACGCCTAATTTCTTTATTTGTTTAGTTTGTGGTAAATTTTGTAGCCTGGCCTGTCTCGAATAGCCTCGCAAACTGCAGGCCAGTCCCAATGTATCTTTTGTTATATTTCCAAATTTAAATAAAGTTGAAGAAGTTGAAGTTGGCAGTGCATGGCAAAGAATGATAGGTGTGGTGAGACAAGTATTGGAAGCCATGTTAGTGGATGCATAGCCAAAGCACCTCACACACCAAGTCCTAACAACCCTAATGGCTCATGTATCAGCTTTCATCAATGCCAGGCCATTCATTCCAGTCTCTAATGATCCAGACGTGCCTGAAGTTTTGACCCCAGCGACTTTGCTGACTCAACAGCCACAACAAAGTTAATGAAACAGCCAGCTGGGGACTTCAGTGCTGAAAACCTGTCACACAAGCAATGGAAACATGTTCAACACCTAGCCAATGTTTTCTGGTCGTGATGGAGAAGAGAGTACCTTCCCACGCTGCAACCACGTAGAAAGTGGCAAAGCACGACCTGCAGTGTGCAGAAGGGTGACTTAGTTCTTCTCCACTACAGTCTGTACAAAGACACCCCAAGCAATGACTGGCCTCTCGCCAGAATTACCTAGCACAGGCCAACAGGCCAACCGGTGGACTTAGCAACCATTCAGGGAGACTCAACGAGGCACTACAAACAACCAATTACAGAAACCATCCTGCGGAAGTCCGTCGAGAACCAATGAATCTAGCTGGATTACTGACATTTTAACCTACAATCAGCGTTTATTATTTTTTCCCTCGTCCTGATCGCAGGTTACTGACATTTCTTCCCGTTTATTTTTTGTTTCAATTTAATGAACATTTTAGTCAGTAGTGGTATTCTCAAATACCAGGCCAGGGGTGCTGTCACACCATTGAACTTTATATGAACAATCATTTTTCTGTTTTGTGATTATTTCTGCTTGAGACGGTTGTTTGTCATTTTAGAGATAGTATCTGCCACAAATCTTGTATGATTGGTTACAGTGTTACACTCGGATTTCTTTTAGCAATATATAATAGTCATTGTCTCATTTACTTCCTAGTTTTTTGATGTTTTTTCACATTAGTCTAAGCCTATGTAAGTTATTTCCTTTTTTACCTTTTATAAAGATAATTTTAAGTTTGCTGGTTATGCTGCCCTATCTCGGCCGAGACCAAATAATTTATCAATCAAGGTAGCAGAACACTTCTATAGTACGTATATTTACTAGATCGTAATATCAACCATGTACATCGACAAAAGCATAAAATTAATATATAGATTATTCTATTATTCTTTTTAATATAATTCTTGATTTTTCACGAAATCTTATACTCACGAAATTAAGTGAGAGTACAAAATGTAAGGCACTAATATTTTTTTTATTATTTTGCTTCTCGAGGGGGGCTTAAGGGTTTGCAATGATGCCATTTTGCTCGATTTTTGATGTAGTTTTGCGGGAATTTTAATTTTAAGTTGCGGTATTGTGGTTTTACAAAACCAAGCAGTTTGTGGTGTTTGGAAATTTTCGGGGAATTTTAATGCAGTTTGCAGTTTTTTATGTTATTCTGTGCGGTGTTTAAACGTATTTCTGTTCAGTTTTGCAGTATTCATACCCCCCTTACATTGTACACCTCCCTCCTTCTCTCTGGAATTTTATCAAGGGCGCATTTAATCAAGTAAATATGATATGTCACACATATTACTGTAAAAAAAAATTAGAAGAGTTGTTTACCTTCACCTCAGAGCTGACTTTTCTTGCTGATCTTGTTTTCTGAATGTATTACATTGTCTTGCAGTTTGCCTTGCTGTTCCTCTTAATCAAGATTCCAAAATATGTAACACAGTGCAGTCCACCACTGGAAAAAAATCACATTGACAAAAATTAAGTTAACATAAATTGCAAATTTTTTAAGGTTAGAACTTGTATAAGACATCCCTGGCAGTGAAAAAGACTAGAAAACTTTCTTGTTTAGCAAGTTATTCATATTTTAAAGACAGTCCACTTATTAAGGGATGCAGCATTCTAAACTGGATATGTGACAGGGGTTAGGGTTAGATAATGACATTTGTAACTCAATCTCTCTTTCCAGGGATTGTACAGATTTTTGGATCAAAAAAATTCAAGTGTTTTCCCACACTTTTTCCAAAACAATATTTCTCTTCCCAGACTCAAGGTTATCAAATAGGTGAGCAATAGAGACCTTAAAAAAAGCAGGAACAAAGCTTTATCAACGATGCACTGCAAACGTACATGTACAGGCAAGATTGAATACGATTTGACGAGCAGGAAAAAAATTTCACTCGCAAAGCACTTGTTGTAGCTTTCAAAAAAACCTTTTTACAATTTTTTTTCCGGGCTTTTTCTCAGTTTTTCAGACTTTTTCCAGGTCTGGAAAATTGCTGGGCAAATTTCAAGCCTTTTTCAAGAATTTAAGACTCTGTATGAACCCTTTCTACTTTAAAAATTATCAGTCTGAAAAAGTATATTATTAACAGCTACATGTATAAGTCTAGAAGATTTGAATAATTTCATTATCATAGAAAAAATAAGGCAGTCAAATTTGTTTACATTTGCCGATCCTTTGTGTTCTTCAATTCGTTGGTGTAGGTGTCGGCACGTGTAGCCGACATAACCTGCATCACACAGGCTACACTGGAAAGAATACACCACGCATTGTTGACTCACAAGAGGCGGCTTGTCTTCCTTGACCTTAATTTCATCTTTGATCTTCCTACTTGTGTAAACTGGGCTGATGTCTGCGTTGATCTTCCTACTCAGGTCAGCCAGCTGTTTACGTACTACGTTTGCTGATTTCTGGTCTTTGAAGGGCAACACGATTCTGATTGGGGCTTCTCTTTTATCAGCCACTTGGGTGTGTGAATCCTCGGACACTTTGGATTCAATGAATTGGCGAATGGTTGACTGCACAAGGTCGTCTGGATAGCGCAGTCGGGAGAAGATCTCTTTAAGGCGTTCACATTCCTCGTGAAAAAACTTCCACGTAGACGAGAGTTTAAACGCACGATTAAGCATGGTGTTCAGGAGTGACCGTTTGTATCTGGCGTCAACGTGTTTGCCGTAATAATTAGTATTAATTTTATTAATTCTTACAGTGATTGTTCTTACTCATTTACTGTATCTTCATCCATTCTTTTTTGGAACTATACACCAGCTGTAGCTGTGCATGTGTAGCCATCATGAGTTGTAATTAAGGAAGCCTTAAGTTATAAGCCCTATGGTTTCTATTTAAGGATTCCTCACCACTTTCATTCTGTAGTGTATTTTTTTTTTCTTTTCATCTTTGTACATTTTGTATGGCAAAATAAATAAATAAAGGGTAACATTTATCAATAAGAGGTATACAAAAGGGGTACCTTTTCTGTCCAAAATGGTATATAGTTATATGTAAAAGGAAAAGGTATTGGACTATGGGACCCCCCCCCCCTCCCCTGTGCATAAAATTTTGTACAGTACTTCTCCTGTCCCCCCCCCCTCCACTCCAAGGCAAAATTAGCTTGCCCAAAGGGTAAGATAATATTGGTTAAGTTTATGAGATGACATCTGTGAAGAGTTTACATTTCTACGTGTAGCCCGATATGACACATTTTGGTAATGCAGTTCCTTGAGGCAAGAGCTCCTGTTTTTCTACCATGTACGTGCAGCAGGCATATTTTGCAAAGTGCCAAACAACTGCCAAACCCCAAACAACTCTCTCTCCCCCCATATTTTCTGCAAAATGAACCTGCAATCTAGGGAAAGCTCTGGTAAGCAGACAATGACAGAGGCCTTGTGGGTGACCTCTAATTTCAGGTGGCAGGTACAGAACACAGGTCATAGGTCAGATCACAAGTGCAAGCTAGAGTACAGGTTACCTTGCAACACCTTGTAGTGCTGTAAAGGGGCAGCAGTATGAATGAAGGGAAAGAAGCCAATACATAAAAAATTGTAGTTAAAAAACCCAAGTCCACCTAAATGTAAAGTCATCTCCTAGTCTCCTGTGCCACGTTACCAAATATTAGTTAGGCAAGGAAAATTATTATATTTAAAGCATTTAGCCCACAAAATTCTGACAGTAAATGCTGTCTGAAGCTGGTGTAGCTGTATTTATCAAGGATTCAAACATAATTCTATACAACGAAACTAAGCAGGGTTTTGACGGTAAAAGCCCTACTTTAACTCTTTTCATCGCATTTGAAGAATATATTAAGGCCAACAGCCAATAAGTGTCTCATAAACTGCCGCAAAGTCTCTTATTATCGGCCTTGTAGAGTTGCAGTTTCCTGCATTTGCATGAGGATAATTGGTCATGATTAACCAGCTGTAAACATTTTGAGACAGAATCCATCAGGAAATTGAGTAATTTCAATTTTCAGTGGACAAAAACCTTGTACCAGAATAATTTAAACAATACTGCATTGTTTTTTACATTTTTCAAGGGCTGTAGATATAATTAATTACCTGTAATAACACCAAAGATTATTTATCATGGGAGCCCGAGAAAATAAATGTCAAATTTCACAAGAATTGTGAAAATAAAGGTAAAATTCGGAAATTTCATGTGTAAGGTGTCTTTTTGTGAAATTTGACATTTATTTTCTTAAGCCCTAATAAAAAATTTTCTTTGGTGTTATTACAGAGCTCTTGAAGTAAAAAGAATGCGATATTGTTTAAATTATTCTGGTACAAGGTTTTTGTCCACTGAAAATTAATATTACTCAATTTCCTGATGGATTCCCTCTTACACATTTTTTCACATAGGAAGTAAACATATCAGCCTTTCATTGCACCCAGTGAAAATCGACATCACAATCAATGACGTTACTGTCACTACATGTGTATGTACCTTCCAAAGCAAACTTGTGTTTCTGCCTCGCTAGGTTAATTTAGCAACGGATACAAAGGTCAACAACATAAATAATATATAGATTTAGCCAGGGCTAAAAGCGAAGCTCACATTAATAAATTTGTCATTAAAATCAAACAATAAACTTGTATTCCAAAAATCAGTAAACTTTAGAGCACATTCATGTGACTTTTGAGGGAAAGGCTAAGTCATTTTAGAAAAAAATAATTTGCAAACAGTCCAAGAGTGAACCAAATCTTACATCGAGTTGATAGCCTTATATGTACACCCAAAAAATAGCAATCATCTTCGATCACATTTAAGAGCCACGATGGCTCTTGATCACAGTAGTTTAAAGCTGGAAAACAAATTCTTGGAAAACAAATCAGGCCAAATTTTTTGCGTTCGACAAGTTTGCTTAACAAAATCTTTCTAAGAAATCTGGGGCACACTTTTACACATCACATCTGAGGTGAAAGAGTACTATGAGGTGCCGTTTTTATCGTCCAGACCTCAGACAGCAGTATTTCACAATTTTGAAATACAAATTGTTCTCATTCAATATTCAGGATGATCAAAGCACGCATGGGCTTTTAGCAAAACCGCTAAAAAAATTTCCAAAATCACCTATACGGCCAGCCGGTTGTGAGCTGTGGAGTGTTTGAATGAACATTAATAGAGTTACGCTTCAACATAATAAAGAATTTATCATGTTTATTTTTGTTTATTTTTTATTTAAAGTGGTTTTATAACGATGTGCAATCTTCAAAAGCGTTTGATACACACGGCGTTTTGAGTACTCCTGTAAGCGATGTTCATGAACGACTGAAAACAAATGGCACAGTGATTAAAATTAAAAGAGAGACTACGGACAATCCAAAAAAGAAATATAATTTGGAGAAACATATACAGAAATGACAATTTTCATTCACGAAGACAAGTATTAAAGTGTCTCTACAAGCTGAAATCGAAAATTTGAAAACAAAGCTGCTTGAAGAACAGGAGAAAATTATCACTTTGAAGAACTATTCTAGACGCAAGAATCTTCGATTTATGAATGTACCTGAACACAATGATGAAAATTGCATGGATGTAGTGGATGATATAATAGAAAATGACATTAATATCAATGTAGAAGATATCCACGTCCTTGCAGTTCATCGTGTTGGGAAACCGCGCTAAGCAGACGCCTCCAAAAGCTTCCTGAGACCAATTAGAGTGAGAAACAGGTTGAAAGATTCATCGAGAGCTAAAAATGTATATGTTCCAAGCAAAGGAGCGAGGTTTGAGTGCAAAAGTTATCGATAGAAAGCTTATTATCAACAATGGTATTTACAAAGTAAGTAATATCCCTGAAGACCTTAGGCCTCCTGAATCCAGTGCACATGCTTAATCGAGACATTTAATCTAAATTTTCTGTTTTTCCACTGTTACGCGAACGTACGGCTGACTCCCGTATCAGACTAAGTTCTTCTGAGACTTGTTATGGACCCAACCAATGGACTTTTAATGTTTTGCTTGATTTATTTGTATATTTTAGCCTCGTACCTTTTTGTTTTTGGCAATATTTATTTTTTTTGTTTAGTCATAGAAATTAGTTGCATACTCGAAACATCTGTACGTTTTTTCAATTGCTTTGTTTACAAGCATCCACAAGCTATCCCATACAACACCGAATTAGTAATCTGCTCATTAAACGTGAGAGGTTTGTTGAACATCATGAAAAGGCGTGAGACCTTCCATTGGCTTAAGATGAAAAAATATGCCGTTTATTTTCTACAAGAAGTTCATTGTACAAAAGACAAAGAGCACATATGGTCCGCGGAGTTGGGGTATTCCGCTATATTTAGCAGCTTCTCTAGTGCCAGCGCCGGAGTATGTTTGCTTTTTGAAATCCTTTTCCGATCCAGAGGGAAGATTCGTCATGGTTGATATCAAATTAGAAGTAAGATCTTAACCTTGGTTAATATTTATGCACCGAATGAAGACAAGCCTACATTTTTCCAAAACGTTCTAAACCAACTTCTCTGTTTCGACTGCAGTGAGATAATTCTTGGTGAAGACTTTAATTTAGCGCTTGATGTCCAAAAAGACAAAAAAGGTGGAAGACCGGTAACCCACAACAATTCGTTAAAAGAGGTCAAACACATTTCAAATGTATTGGATTTCATAGACATTTGGCATTGCTTTACTCCAGAAGCTAAAAGATTCACTTGGAGGAGAAGAAAACCTGACATACACTGCCGTCTAGACTTTTTTTGACAAGCTCTAGCTTAAGTACAACTATCACCAATGCAGACATATTATAATTTACCTGGCTACAAAACAGATCACTCTTTAATATCTATTCATTTGGCAAATAATGCAAACCCCAGGGGGTTATTGGAAATTGAACACCTCTTTCCTGTTAGATGAAGAATATGTCGGCCTAATTAAGAAAACAATCACTGATGTAGCAAACGAATATGTGAACAATAGCGAGATTGATGCCATTCTATTATGGGACACCATGAATCAAGCTCTCTAAACTATGCAAGGAGAAAGAAAGCTAAAATGAAATCACTTGAGTTAAAACTTGAATCTGAAATATTGTCTCTCCAAAAGGAGTTAGAAGAAAACAACATTTCTGAAAATGAGAAAGTCCAGATTTATAGTGAAATAGATGTTAAGATTCTACAAAGAGAAGAAATTTCAAAATATAAAACTCAAGGAGCAATATTAAGATCCAAGTCTCGGTGGCATAATGAAGGAGAAAAAAATACAAAATACTTCCTAAACTTGCAGGAAAAATGACATTTCAATAAAAAAAACCATCACGCACCTGACATTAACAAATGATAATGTTGTCAATGCAGATAGGGAGATCCTAGAAGAAGCAAAATCCTTCTAACAGAATTTTTATTCTTCAGCTAATATGCAACCCGACACTAAGGAAGAAAATATGTTTTTCCCAGACGGAAATACTCTTATCCTAAATGAGCAAGAGCAAAAACAGTGTGAAGGCTTCCTGAATGCCTCTGAATGTTTAGAAAGTTTAAAATCGATGGAATCAAACAAGAGCCCTTGAAGTGACGGCCTCCCAGCAGGGTTTGAGCCAGGCAGCGCCATTGCGCCAATCCCGCACTGCAATTGAAATTGTCCCTTAAAAAAACGGCCAAGGGGACAATTTGTCCCCTTCAAAATTTAGGGA